CTCAACCTCTGCCTCTCTCTCTTGCCCCTCTTCCCTCCTGAGTCTTTACCAAGGCCTAAGGTGGTGACAACCTCTTGCTTACTTTTGGGGTGGCACTCTAAGAATGGGGCTGGAAGCCAAAAAGGAACGGGCAAGTGAAACAGCTCTTCCGGGTTGTTTGGTCCACAACATTTGCACACATTAACAGCCTCCAGAGCCTTCAGGTTCCCACTAAAGATCCTACCTGGCCATTTGCAGCAACGTGGATGGAACTGGAAATCATTAGGTTAAGCAAAATAAGACAAACACCACAAAATCAAATTTATGTGTAAAATCTAAAAAGTCTATCTGGTGCAAGATGGGACTAGAATAGTGGTCACTAGAGACTGGGATGGGCAGGGGGTAGGGGAGGGAAAGAAGTTCAACAAGAAGCACCAAAATACAGAGAGAATGGATCAGTTATGGTTTTTCTGGGTTTTTTTTGGAGACAGGGTCTCACTGTGTAGTTCAGGTTGGCCACGAAGTCACTGTGCAGCCCAGGGTGGCCTTGAACTTGCAGTGGTCCTCCAGGCTCAGCCTCTGAGAGTGTGGGGATTGCAGGCATGGACCACCATGCCCAGCACCTTTTTTCTGTAATGCAGTGGAGTAACTATGAGTTAAAACACCTATGATATATTTCAAAATCAGTAGAAACAGTAGGAGATTCCCAACACAAGCCGGCATGGTGGCGCAGGCCTGTAATCCCAGCACTCAAGAGGCTGAAATAGTAGCCCAGGGTCCATAGCAAGTTCAATGTCAGCCTGAACTACACAGCAAGATCCTGATTCAAAAAACAAGAACAATTTCCAACACATTAAACTGAGTGTTTGAAGAGATGGAAATGCTTATTTCCCCTATTTGATTATTATACATTATATACTTGATACATGTATTATCATAATGTACCCCATTACAATGTACAAATATTATGTCTTAATAGTAATAATAACTAGGAATAGAAGACCCTATCTCTCCAATTAGGTTCTAAAATGAGCATGAAGAGACATATCAGGAGTATCTACTTCTGAGTCACATTATCCCAAACTTGCCTATATGACTAGAGTTGCCATGTTACTGACTGGTACCACAGGCCTAGGACACCCCTATTTCAGCCTCCCTCCACTGCTCATGAATTGTTAAACCAATCTAATTAACTTTTGAAATATTCATCTCCATGTACTTCCATAAAAATCATTTCACTAAATTGCTACTCTAGCCCCTACCTAGTCTTCACATATCCACTCTCGTTTTCTCTAATCTCTCTCTCCACTCAAGCTAGTGTCTATTTTGGAAGTGAGTACACATTAGTCTGCTAAACAATAAAACAAAACCCAGCTTAATGTTTTCTCTATGTTTAAAATAAAAGCCAAACTGATACGATTTTGCATAATCTGTCTAATGCTCACTTCTCCTGTGTTGTTCATGCCACTCTGCTAATCTTCATCTTAGTCTCCTACAAGTGTTATATGGTTATTTCTGTCTTTCCTACCTGATACCTAAACAATTCAGTATTGTTTATACTTTCTTCTCTAATTCAATCCAGACTTTTTTTTTTCTTAGAGAAGCCTTCTGTGTCTCCCTGAAAGATCAACATTTCCAGTTAAATGTTGCAGAATCTTGTTTTTCCTATCCATTATTTCTGCCATTAGTAATCATGTATTTGTACAGTTACTTCATTTTTTCTTTCAATGAATCAAATTCTTTCAGTGAATCCACAGATATTTACTAAACTCATACTATATGTCAGGCATCCTTTTGTTACTAGCGCCATACTAGTAAATCTATTTCTCTCTCTGTCTCTATTATCTGTTTCTTCTCTCATCCATTTTTGCACTTAAGACAATTATGAGCAAATCAGTGGTATATGTGTATCAATAAATTAATAAATTTGAGAAGTCACTATTTCAATTTATTTTTGAAAAATCATTAATGGAATGAAACTGATCAGAAACAAAGTCTAAAAAGGGCTTTAGTGTGCTTTGGTCAACATTGAAGAGTGTACACCACTAAGTGAGTCGAACCTGTCTTGGTTTGTGTAAGTCCTGCTATGAGGTTTACATGAGCAAAAAATTGTCTAATTCTGCATTTCTCAGAACAGATCACCAGTAGTAAAGGACACAAGATGACACATGACTATATATATA